TTTCGTGCAACTTCATGTTGAGTATCGCTTGCTTTGTGTCTGCCTTCATTGGGGCCTTAGCGGAGTGTGTTAACTTTAACGTTATCAATATGGATATTGTTTATGTAGACCAATGGCTTCGGGCTGCTCCTTGTGTAGGAAAGATTGGTTCTACAATGAATTTGTTTACACGTTATTTTTAAGTTGCTAGTTCTTCTTTAGACAGTGGTTAGTTGTTTTTGAGAATTGCTTTTAGAATTGTATAGTAAGGATTAGTTTTACTCGAGGCTTTAGCTAGATAGAAGTAGTAGGTAGCATTTTGAACTTGTGTATATATTTATGTATATATCTGCCATTACCATGCACTTTTCTTATGTTTTCCTTTTCTTTTTCTCTTCCCCCCCCCCCCCCCCTTCCAGTGAGGTTGCTTGGGCAACTTGGCTGGGTGTTTTGTTATATATGAATTGTTTTGTTTGGTGTAAAGAGTTTGTTGTGTACGTATTTTCTACGTAATGTATTGTACGTAACGTATTGTACGTAGTGGTTTTACGTAGTGTTTTGTTTGGTGTGGACTTTTGGATGTCGAGAATGGATGAAGGGAGGTTTCTGTGTGTCAGGGCCTGGACCATCCTAGACATAAGTCGGTGCAACACCAGCAAATGGTCGAACGTAATGTTTTGTTGTATATAAACTGTTTTGTTTGGTTTTATTTTGTCTGTTTTGTGTCAGTAGTTTTTATCTATTTTTTTTTGTGATTTTGATTGGTTCCATGAAATAAATTTTATTAATTTGTTAAAGTTTTTTTGTTTTTTTTTAAATTTAGACTAAGGTTAAGGTATTAACCAGTCTGGGTTTGTCCGGGCTTGCGCTGACCGGACAGTAGTTAGTTAGATAAGCCTAGGGAAGGGTAAGATAGATTTTAAGGTATCCCCCCCCCCCCTAGCAGGGCTTACATCAGTCTTTAGTTTGTATTTTTTAAAATAATAATTAAGAGAAATAATTGCTTTTTAATTTGTTTAGTACAAATATATTAAAAGGAGCTTATGAGCACCCCTATTTAACTATTTAAAAAAGGGAAATAAGTCAGGGAAGTGTTTTGAACGATTGCCTATCTTCCACACTACAGCTCAGGCATTATTTTTTTTACGCAACAGCATGTGTTAGCTTCTGTATAACATCACAACGGATGTAGGACAAAAGGCCGACAAGACAAAAGGCCGACATGGACAAAAGGCCGACAGCCAAAACGCCGACAGGACATAAGGCCGACAGGACATAAAGCCGACAGCCAAAAGGCCGACAAACCATAAAGCCGAAAAGCATAAAAAATAATAGTATCGCAAAATATGTGTTACTGCATAGCTTCTATCTTGACAACCATCGAAATAAGGCATGAAGAGAAGAGACGATGCTAGTTGCTATTCTTATAAGGTTAACCATCGGGTCAAGCGACTGGAGATTACGGAAGTGTCTTAAACACAAAGGATCAACACCTAAATATTGTGAAATACTGTCACTGCTGTCTTTCATAGCTCCTTCTATGTCAAAGGGGTGAGATAATCATCAAAGAACAAAGTCAAAAGCTGTCGGCATTATAGCCCACATGCAACAAGGTGGAAGAGACAATGTTAGTTGCGATCCTTATAAGGTGGACAATTGGGTCCATGCGACTGGAGATAGGTGGCGTTGCCACCATATTACGCAAAGAAATCGAATGCAGAATCACGATCACGTGCCTCGACTAGACTACATGTTAATTACCGACAAATTTGAATTATATTTTAGTTTCGTCCATTGCGAATGGCGTGAAAAAAAAGTGTATACTATATTCGTTGGATTAATTAATTATGTTGTGATTTTGATACAATTCTGCCAAAATTGGTAAGTTATTGTGTGTGTGTGTGTGTGTGTAAACTTGCCCCTGTGATTTCCCTATATATGGACCAATATATCGTCAACAAATAATTGGTTACATCGTGTGTATTATTTTATCCTATTGTATGTACCTAAAATATTTATGAGAAACTTAAATAGTCGTATATAATTACATATTTTAGATATTAAACATGTCTGTAATTGTAGTTTGTTGTTTTATAAAACTTGTCGGCCTTTTGTCTTGTCGGCCTTTTGTCTTGTCGGCGTTTTAGCAGTCGGCCTTTTGTCTTGTCGGCTTTTTGGATGTCGGCCTTTTGGCAGTCGGCATTTTGTCTTGTCGGCCTTTTGTCCATGTCGGCCTTTTGTCCGGATCCCCATCACAACTGTAGTAGATCCAGTGGCGTAGCGAGGGGGGGGGGGGTCGAGGGGTGCGGATCGCACCGGGTGACACCATTTAGGGGGGGGGGGGTGACATCAAGGCAAAAAATAGCAAAATATATAGAGAAAAATGATAATTCCATTTAACCCTTTATTTACGGAATTAGGTTCCGAATTACATTGCTTCTTAAACAAAGTTTTATCATATTGCTTTTGGCACATTTAAAGCATATGTCAAAAGAAATTTTGATTTATAAATTTTTAATGGCCCAAACATATATTGGTACTTATAAGTATCGTCAGGAATGTAGGACATTTTTTCCAAAAATTAAAAAATTTACAAAACAGGAAAAAACGATACAACGTATTAACTAATAACATGGCAATCATTATAACAATTATTTTTTGTAATTTTCACACATAAACCCAGCACAAAAGTATATTTTGAGAGCGATTTTTTCTGGACTTTCTATCTGAACACATCTTAGACGTCAAACGCAGCAAAAGGTGCCGACATGTCATACTCCCTCATTCATCATTCCTGATACATTCTTGTCTGTCGTCTTTTTGGTGTGGCAACAGTTGCCGGACTGAACTTGCTTTTGCTGGAAGCTTCCGATAGCCATTACAATGAGAAGCATAAACACATATTTTGAAAATGAAATCCTTGTCATTCAGTACACTACTACTAGTAATACTAGTGTAGCCTACTAGAATTTTATGACAAGTCTACACTACAGTGTAAAGTTCATAAATAGAAGTGAGCTCATTGTGTTTAGAATAGCCGTAGTGGCCTACTGTTTTGTGTTTACTGATTAAAATTTACAAAACGATCAATATTACATGCAAATGTATGGACTATTACTAGTCTACATGTATACATTACATACACGCTAGTTATTGTAGGCAAGACAGTTTTTTTTTTTTTTTGCAATAAATAACCAAAACCTAGTAAACGAGCCTGCAACTGCCACCTCTATTCCTTGTTATTCTTTTACTACTAGAAATCTGCAATTAATTACAATATTTCTGAGGAAAACCTTATGCTAACCTTCTGTTAAATGCATAAATATAATCTTTTAAGTACATTTCGATAATTAATTATCAAAATAATATTTATAACACTCCACGTCGAAAATCTGCAATTTCCAAGAAATCCTTAAAAAAAATGACCGTGTGCCCTGACAGTACTTATAAGTCCACTTGTAAATATCGATCTAATACAAAGACACTTTGATCAAAATTGTATAACTAGAAGTTAAACACAATGACCTGACTATTGAAGATCCCAATAAAAAATATTCGGTTTTGAAAACTTGAAGAATAAGGTAAAACAAAAGGAAAATAGGAACACATGTGAGATATGTACAGAACGATTGTGAACTACCGATACAGGTAGAGATTGAAAATGGCGCCACACCAGAAATTTTCAAAAAACATCGATCCCTTCACCTACCTGTGACTCAGGGGAGATGATACTATTGATTACATCAATATTTTTTAAAAATTCCTCTTAAATTAAAATTAATACAGGCGCTTAATTAAAGTGGTACTAATAAGTACCGTCAATAGATAAAGGGTTAATTAATTGATTAATTTGAGTGTTAAAAAGTCTTTTAAGAGCAAATTTGACAAATCCCGACGAGGGTGGAGGGGGGGGGGGGTGCAATTCGAAAATTGATTAAGTTTGTCCCCGAGCCGGGTAGGGTCGCTACGTCTCTGGGGGGGGGGGGGGGTGACACCATTAAGTGCCGTACTCGACCTCGCTACGCCACTGAGTAGATTTGTTTGTTATTTACACAAGCTTTTACCGTCAGGTCAAAAATGCAAGAAATGTTTTTACTTTCTCGCATATACGAAGTATAGAGTAAGTCTTGTAATCGTGCAAAAAAAAAAATCGAGATTTTTACAAATCTCGACGTTTTACATCTCACAGATACGGAAAAATATAATTTTGCAATCTTGTCCGTCTGTGTGTGTGTCTGTGTGTGTGTGTGTGTAAACACGATTACTTGAGTACCGTTACAGCTAGGTTGCTGAAATTTCATATATAAGTATTTTATCAAAATCGTAGATCCGTATCAACTTTTGAGCGATTTCCGATAACCGGAAGTGGTACTTTTTCTACTTTGAATTTTTCAAAAGCCTATAACTTGAGTACTATTTCAGATAGATAAATGAAATTTCACATGTAAGTAAAAGATCTAATTCTCTTCGTTCTGTCAAATTTTGAGTAATTGCTATTGACGGGAAGTACTAATTTACGCTATTTCCGATTTCTCAAAAACGCATCTAAATTTATAAAGTACTAATAATATTTTTTCTATGAGATTCTATTTTATTTTAAAAAGTTGAAGTATTTAAAATGGATTAAAAATCATAACTATATCCCGTTCCCATCCCCTGTTGTTTTATATAAGAATATTCGAGAAAGTTTAGGGGAGATCACTCCCGGTTTATTTTTTTAAACTATAAAAAATGTATTATGGTCGGCTATGGGCCCCTAAATGGCGTGGGTCCCTCCGCATTGCGGGGTCTGGCGGCACTGTAGTTCCGCTCCTGAATGGAGGAAGGAATGAAGGAAGGACTGACACACTCTCAGCCCGCTTATATAATAGTTTCGAGAAAGTTTAGGGGAGATCACTCTCGGTTTATTTAACGACGTTTGACATTGGGGAAGGGAAAGATCGTCAAACAAATGTGACGTCATTTATGGATAAAGTTACCCGCGATAGGCCTAACTCAGTCTAGTATAACTTAATTAAAAGGGAAAGTACTCTAATAAATATTATTAAAAGATGGCTGGTGTTTTTAATAGCACATTTATTTTATATCTCAAAAAACCGTACTAATAGAACTAGATCTAGATCTTCTAGATTCTCTAGAATTAATAGTGAATTTCAAAAAATTTGCATTGATTAATCCTACTGTAATGTTGGTTTATTATTCTATAATCTATATTTAGTAAATACAGTTATTTTTTTAGTAGGAACCCTGTTATGATCTGTATTACTACTGTATAACTGTACTGTATAGGCTAATTTAGTAATAGTAATTAATAATTAAACATAAAGTATAGATCTAGGCCTAACTATAACTATAAAGTCAAAGTATAAACTATAACTGAGTAGGCCCAGTATATAAAGTATAAGTAGGCCTATAGTGGCGGGGCTATAAGTATAGTTAAGTATTATTAGTAATAGTATGAGACTATTTTAGATTAGTGATTTCCCTGTAATCTATCGTTTTAGGATTTTCAATTTAGGTACGTAAAAATCGCCCTCGACTAGTAATGTGAAAAACAGGTGACTCCTTAAATTTTAATAATTATTTCACATTTTGATGAGGAATTATTGAATTATGTTTTGAAAAATACAAAAATGTTTCCTTGTTTCTTTTAATTTATGTAGGCCTACCTGTTTTTAAATAATTAAATTAAAACTTTTCAGTAATAAATAGACTAGCGATGTTTCCAACAGATGCAACCATGCTCATTTACTATAGTATAGCAGCCATCTTGTTTATTTTTTTTAATTGTAAATTTATAGTGCACTATTCAGGGGAAGCCACTCTAAAAAAACTTACAGATGGCCGCTTTTTATATAGCAAATCCTGCTAGCAAACACTGCTGTTTAAAGTTAATTTCTTTCCTATATTGATATATTTAGCCGTTGATATAGGTTTATTATTCATTTATCTATAATATTTGACACAAATATATCACAATATACTTCTATTAAGCCTTGACAATGAGGTAACTGTTTCGTACATTACTAACCGCGGGCGATTTTACGTACCTAAAACTACGATAGATTACCTGATTTCCTAGCGTTGGGCCCTGGCGCCTAGAGTCTAGGCCCTAGAATAGATCCTTCAATCCTTCATTAATATAATATTTAGGCATTTAGGCCCTATTATTTAAAGTTATTTATTACATCTAGGCCCTATTAGTATTTAACCTATTTAATACTATTAATAGTATTTAATTAGGCCTACTATTTAAACCACTAAGCCTAACTAAACTAGATCTAGATCTTATTAAAATAATATTATTTATTACAAAGTGACTACTCGGAAAAAGATTTTTCGTCCCAACGTCTCCACTTAGTCGGCAAAAGATAGTTCTGCGCATGCGCAGTGACCTATGGCTAGGGTTATGGTAAGAGATAGGGTTAGGGCTAGGATTAAGGATAGGGCTAGGAATAGGGTTAGGGCTAGGGTTCTGCGGTTGTAAACACACGCATGCGCAGTACCATCGAAAACATCGTCGTAGTTTCCATTACACATGCACTTTTTTCCGGCTAGCAGCGGCCTATTATTATTCTAGATTTACGACAATTTACGTACTAGACTATGTAACTTTAAAAGTTAAAGTTTAACATTTTACTTCTCTAGATTTAGATCTAGGTAGGCCTACTTTTTTTTTTAATCTATCATTTTAGGATGGTGCATACAATCTGCCGAGGCTAGTATTGGGTGAAAAAGTTGCCTCATTGGCTTTAATAATAGAATTAGATCTAGATCATTATGATATAGGCCCTATTTGTGTCAAATATTAGAGATAACTGAATGTTGAATAATAAACCAAAATCAATGTATGAAAATTTAAAATATCAAGGCCAGAAATTAACTTTAAAAGCAGTGTTTGCGAGCAGGATTTGCTATATAAAAAGCGTCCATTTGTAAGTTAGAGTGGTTTCCCCTGAATCTCTAACTAATTTTTTACCACAAAAAAAAAACTGAAACAAGATTGCTGCTAAAGTAAATGAGCTTGGTTGCATTTGATAAAAACATCGCTAGTCTTTATTTTTGACTGAAAAGTTTTAATAGGGCCTACAATTTAAAAAAAAACAGGTAGATCTACATTAATCAATTAATAAAACTCTGAAACCTTTTTTTAACTTTCAAAACATAAATCCTCCAAAAATGTGAAATAATTAGTCCTACTAAAATTTAATGAGTCACCTTTTTCTAGTCTCGGCCGATTTTATGTAGCTAAAACGATAGTTTACCCTTTTAGAGTTAGTCCCTAGCCTACTTTAAATAGTAGTATTTTTTTTATATTAGCCTAATAATAGTAGGCCTAGGCCTAATATTAATAAATTAATTTTAGGCCAATTACTTATTAGGCCTAATTAATAATTATTAAGTTAATACTTATCAGTGGGAATAATAATAATATAATTATTACAATAATAAAATTAATAGCCTATTAAGCTATTAGTATTTTTGTAAGTAGTACTAGTTGGCAGTAGCCTAATTACTAATAGGCCTACTGATTTTGATTAGGAAGCTGGCTGCTGGATCTATTTTAATTCTAGATCTAGATCTAGTCATAATTTGGCCCTAGTTAGTTACTAGATTCTAAACCTCTCGAATCTAGAATAAACTAAGACTTACATGTGTCATTAGGTCTTAGTTTAGTAAAATAAGACAGATAAGTTTACATCAGGTGTCAATAGATCTAGAAGCTAGAGTAAGCAAGACTAGACTAGAGGGCCTAATAATGGCTATTGGCTAGGCCTAAAAATATATTCTACTAGCGTGCCAGTCCCCGAGCGTTGCCTCGGGGTTAGAAGAAAGTCTGACAAAATATATAAGATGTGTTTCATCAATGCGTTACCAATCCTGTATTCTTAGATGTGTAAGTTATTCACTCACCATAATGTAGTGAGGTGGAATATAATTCGTTGACCGCCCAGGTGTAAGGGACATAGAGGGACTCTCTTAAGAGCCCTTGTTACACTACCTTAGGGGCGCCTAGTACTGTCCCTGGCTGTTCAAAACTAACGTTAATGCCCTGGTGCTCACAGGAAAACCCAAAGCGCCAAATAGCATCCTGAAACAATGATGCAGATTGCGTCTTTCGCTAACAACAAAAATCAACAGGATTTTTTCTTTATCATGTAGGGAAAAAATTTGAGGTGTTATAAGCATCAGTGTGAATGATGCACTTTTGTTAGCGTTACTAATGGCAATGGTGTATCATTAGATGCTCGATCTCAATTTCTGATTGCATCGTCTAATAATAGATGCTAATTGCATCATTTGCAAAGTGACAAAACTGAAATTTTTTGTTCACAGCCTAATCGCATCCTACCAGGGCATCGGCGGGCTTGCCTTATTCAATTTAGTGAGCAACTGTAATGCCCCATCTTATCCATTGTCTATCGCTCTGTGCACAGCAAACATAGGCACCATTGCGCTCACAGGAAAGCCCATTTTTGCTCATCGTGTCTTTAGTGTATAGCCTTCTTTTAATCGAATGTAGGCGCCATAGTGCTCGCAGGGGAGCCCAGGGTGCTTCGGGTCGTGCAATCTACGGGGCACAGGTGGTCGCAACTGTTGAAGTTTTAACGCTGAATAGAGTAGTACCCCTTACATGCTATGCTGCATGGCACGATTAACGGATGACAAGTGCTAACATAGCCACTTTTGCACTCTGGGCGGTGGCGCCCATATCAAATTGTAATTATTTTGTTCAAAAAACCTTCTCTGGAGTATTCTCATAACTTTCCAAAGTTTCATGGCACTCGGATGAACGGTGTGAAACAGCTATCGATTTTTATTTTTGTATACCATATATAGTGGAAAAAAAATCGCACCTTGCCGGGGCACCACCCCTGCAAATTTGAAAAATGTTTTTTTGCACAAACCTCCCTAGGAGTATTATCAACAATTTTGATCTTTTGAGATAGGCTGGACTGTTGTTAGGTATGCTGGTCTGTTGTGAGAGGCTTGTCTGTTGACAGGCTGGTCTCTTGGATGGTAAAACATGTGTTTAAAGAGGCTGGTCTCTTGTGTATGGTAAGACTGGTCTAATGAGAGGCTGGTATCTTGAAAGATATAACTGATCTTTTGTTGGTAAGTCAGACAGTAATATTTTAGTGACCACTAAAATGACATTATTTTGTTGCTTGACAGCTTGAGATTGCTAGTTAAGTTTAAATAGCCATCTCCCTCAGCTGTATGGTAGCATCAGTAAATACAATTTCAGATCATGTGATTAAATAATTTCAAGTTTTGATCTGAAATCTAAACATGTAATATTAATCACTGTACCCTGCCAAAGTTTGATGTTAACCATTGAAAGATGCTTGTTACTTAATAAACTGAATAGTCATCTCAATATTAAGTAGGCTACCATTTTACATTTGAATTTAAGTTCCAAGAAGTCTAATTTTGTCATTTAACATGCAGGCCAAACATTTTGTAACCTACCATATAAACACTCTATCAAAAGCTAGTAATGAATGAAAAATAAATATATTAATTGCACACATTTGTGGAAATTTGATACAAATATTTTCTAAATTGATCTCTAGATGTAGACTAGATTCTAGAATCTAGATCTAGTGTTAAAGCATTGTGTTAGCCTAATAAAAATGTAAACAAAGCAGTTTGGTTCTTGGAAAGCTAACTGGAAATAGGCTATATTAAACACATACTTTTTATTATTCTTTAAAATAATAGAATATAATAGAATAAATCAACATAATTAATTTAATTTCCTTACCTATAAATACTTTGATTGCTGTGGTGTAAAATTGTGTGATTGCATCTTGCAACTGCGTTGCTGATCACAAGTAAACTGTAAACTTACAGAAAATATTTGATTCGTTTTGTGCCAAGATTTTTAACACTAGAATAGCCGGTTTGTACATATATGTATATATATGAGTTTTATATATGTATGTATATATATATATATATATGTATATGTATATAACCTATATGTATATATATATGTGTATATATATGTTTATATATGTATGAATATATATATATATATGAATATATATATATATATATATATATATATATATATATATATATATATATATATATATATATACATATATATATATATATGTTTATATATGTGTATATATATGTATATGTATTTAAATATATGTATATATATATATATATATATATATATGTTTATATATGTGTATATATATGTATATGTATTTAAATATATGTATATATATATATATGTACATATATATATATATATATGTTTATGTATATACGTATATACATATATATATATGCATTTATATATATACAAATATATATACATATATATAAACACACATTTTTCGTCAATACACAATTTGGTGCCCAGAGTTCCAGAGCGGCTATGTTAGCACTTGGCATCCGTTAATTGTGCGTCTTGTATAGCCGTTAAGGGGTACTACTAGATTCAGCATTAAAACTTCAACAGGTGCAACAGGGTACAACAGCCGGCACCCCGTAGATTGCACGACCCGAAATGCCCAGGCCTCACCTGCAAGCAATATGGAGCCTATGTTCGTTAAAAAAAGGCTATATTTTGAGGACATAATGGGTAACAATAATCATTGATTATATCAAACCAGGCCTGTTCCCCGGCACCCTTGCTGGGTTCCTTTGGCACAGTGTGATAGACAAAGGATAAGTTGGAGTGTTACAGTTGCTTACTAAATTAAATCAGGCGTTTCCGCCATCGCCCTTGTATGGTGAGATTCGGCTGCGAACAAAAATTTCAGTTTCGGCCCTCAAAAGCTCACATGGGCCACTGGGGGCCCTGTAAAAAAAACAATTGAATAATCAGATAAATTAACCAAGGTTAGATTATTAACTGCGTTGTTTCCTTTTGTCCATAAAAAAAATTCAAACAATTCCAAAGCCTACAGTTCTCGAAATAATGAAAATATTTCCTTAAAAAATTAAGTTTCGGAGGGCAGCTCAAATCTAAAAATAAAAGTCACACTTCTAAAAATAACTTTGTTACACGAGGAATTCATTCTGTAAAGTTTAGTCACTTTGCAAATGATGCAATTAGCATCTATTTTTAGACGATTAAATCAGAAATTGAGATTGAGCATCTAATAATACACCATTGCTATTAGTAACGCTAACAAAAGTGCATCAGTCAGACTAATGTTTATAACACGTCAAATAATTTTTTTCCTACGTGTTAAAGATAAAATACAGTTGATTTTTGTTTGTAGAGAATGATGCAATCTGCATCATTGTTTCAGGATGCTATTTTTCGCTTTGGGTTATCCTGTTAGCACCAGGGCGCTTATGATAGTTTTAAACAGCCAGGGACTTTATCCAGCACTCCTGCGGTAGTGTAACCGGGGGCTCTCAAGAGCACCCCACCATGTCTTTGACACATGGGCGGTCACGGAATTATGTTCTACCCCACTACATGCCACAGTTAAACCTGGCCCAGATAAATATGCTCCAAGCGCAGGCATTGTTTAAATTAAAATTTCATCTCAGTTTTTAAAAAAAGTCACACATCTAAGAATACAGGATTGGTAAAGCATTTATGATCCACTTCTTATATTTCTTCAGACTTTCTTCCTTCCTCCCATCAGCAACGCTCAGGGACGGGCACACTAGTATGTATATATATGTATATACATGTGATGTATGCTTATATATATGTCTATGTATATGTATGTATGTCTATATGTATATCTAGATGTATGTATATATATGTATACATATTTATATATGTGTGTATGTATGTATATATATATATATTTATTTATATGTATGTATGTATATATATATGTGCATATTTATTAATTAATTTATTAATTAATCATCAATAATGTAGGCTATTACATTTAAACTTAAAATTTTAAAAATGTGATATTATCATTATTCTTACACATGCACTTGTTTTTTTCAAAACTTATAGATAGAGGATGTGGAAAGCTGTGTTGAAAGTTATAAAATGCACCATAAATATACTTCTTTCAATTTTGAAACCCCTGCGGAACATAATTCGTTTGAAGCATAGGCTGCCAGAAACAAATGATTCAGAATTAGTTTCAGTAGAGACTGAATTTTTCAAGTTTAATTTGCAAATCTCCAATAATAAGGAAATGAAGGAAGTAAGATATAAGATTAACTTCTAATATCTAATAATTGCCTTTTGTTTGTTTAAACTAAAGAAAACATACAGTGGTACCTTGAGATACAAGTTTAATTTGTTCCATTACATTGCTCATATAACAGGCAATGATGTTAATTGAAAATAAATGAAATGCCAGTAATCCGTTCCAGCCCCCAAAATGCCACCCAGTTGTTTTTTTTTTTTAAATACAAATGTTAATTGTTTAATAACATAATAAGGGATAACGCAAGGAAATGGTTTTATAAAGTGTGTTGGCTTGAAAAGCATTGCTTTTCTCTTTGCTGATCTTTTTTTTTTTGCCTCGCTTTCCTTTTATTTTTTCCACTCAGGCCGTTAAACCTGTCCTCCCAGTCCCTATTTATTAGAATGTTTCAGAAATGAGTTCGTTAAGTGTCATTAAACAGCTCCCGTGTACAATCAACTGCAGCTTTTTCCCACGTTTTCTTTAACTTGCTTTCGCGTCTGTTTGTCTTTCCATCAAATCTTGCGATCGAAATTTCGGGCACTTCCCAGTTAGCTAGCGCGCTGAAATTTTCAGGGAAGCTTTGTTTCCGATGACAATACAATATTCAATTATTATTATTACTAAATTGATCCATGGAAAAATTGTATTGATCATTTTAGACGCATATTGATTTGTACAAAAAAGGGACATAACCTAGTAATTGTAATTTGATAAAACCAAGGTTCAGTACTTTCCCTCTTCTGGCCTCCTACTGAATGGCCAAAAAAACTTTTTAGTTCAATCAGAAAACGTGGTTTTTTTTTTTTAATTTTAATAATAATTTTTAGTGTTTCCTTCCTCCACCCACGAACCAGCAAATCCGACTTCTTTTGCTTGTATTCGTATGTCAAATTAAATTTTAGCTCATTTGCCAGCTTGTATCTAAAAAAACAAGGTACCACAATATTCACTCATAATGTTCAGAGTATGTGATATTTCTTGAATTTGAACTCTATTGAAATGAACTTTAGACATATGCTTTTTACTTTATTATAAACGGAATAATAGGCAGTTGCACATACATGGGATGAGCAGCTTCTCCTATGGCCACTTTCTGTAAAGTGACTGTTGTTTTATTGTTGTTTTTTTAAATTTAATTTACTTAAAATTTAAACAATAATATTTATCAGATCGTAATTTTTGTTCCACACAAAGATACAACCAACCACCTTGCAAAAATTTTAAAATGAGTTTGTTATTCAAAAAATAAGTTATGTTGCATGGGAAAGTCCCCCCCCCCCCCCCCCCCCCCCGAAAAAATTCTACCGCCCCCCACCCCAACGAAATGAAATTTATATAATTTATATAGAAAATATGCAGTGTCGTCGTCGTCCCCCCCCCCCCCCCCCCGAAGAAAGTCTACCAGCCCCCCCTCCCCCGAAAATTTCAAGTGGACCCCCGGAGAAAAAAGTCTAGAAGAAACACTGGGTGATAGTACAACCATCCTAATTTATAAAAGGCCATGTGCGCTCTTCTCTCTCTCTCTCTCTCTGTCTGTCCGCAAAATATTTTCGCCGGACATCACGTCAGAAACGGCAGCGATATATGCAGAACTTTATACGGACTTTTGTTGAAAATAATATGTTAGATGTTTTAAATGTATAACCACAATATTAGTTAAAGAAGAAAAATAAAAATTAAAGGCGTATTCGAATGTAGAGAAACAGTATTATTTATGCAACCGGAAAAGCATTAATATATGTGAAAAAGAACGCATAAAACTGTGACGTCACTATTGCTTATACATTAACTAATGACGTCATCTGCCGTGTTTAGAATGAAAAGAAATGAACTATTTCATTCAAATTTGATTTAGATCTACGTACACTATGAAATGTATACAATACAATTTTTCCGGCCTAAACTCATAAAATTTATTTTATGTATTTGGATTCTAGATCTAGACTAAATCTAAATCTAAATCTAGGCAATAACTAGATCTAGACGTAGACGCTAAGATCTAGATTTAGACTCTAACTTCTCTAAAATCAATTCCAAAAATAAATTTCTATATTAGGACTAAACTATTTCAAGACTTATTTATTTTATACAAAATCTTTGTTTGGAACTGGCTAATTTGGGATTATTATGCTCGGGCTAAACTTAAAAAAAAAAAATTCTATTAGGAATCTAGATCTAGATCTAGATTGTCGGGTGTCCGATAGGGCACTTCCCGGCGCCGCAGGCGCTTCAAATTTGGCATGATCTTGCCTTGGTGCGACAGAACACGGGGGCCGGTTGGCCGAAAAGTCTACGATGTGGGGGTCAAAACTGACCTCGACTGACCGGTACCTTATATGAGCTATAAATCGAAAAAAAATGTCCACGGAGGAACCTCTTCATAACTCTTGAGGTCGTAGACCGACCTTCGGGCGAATTAATTAAGCATTCAAATTCTCAATGTTTTCGAAAGCCTAAGCGAAGCTGGGCAGCATGCCTAGTTATAAATTATAAGCAAAGGTAGACATTTAATCTCTTTTTTATTATACTAGATCAAGGTGAATCCAGTTCACTCAGTTACTGTGTTATTCGACACGAAATGGTTAGTTAGTCTACTGTGTAAACTTACTGTAACCGTATCGATTTGCTACCACTGTTTAAAATTATTTATTGAAAATTAATATCTGCATGGTCAATACCTCTAAACGGTACATAATATACTATTTTTCATAAAGTGATACAGTTTGTCAGAGGTTGCTGGTAATCATGAAAAGATTTTTTTTGGTGGGGGGGGGGGGGGATGAGGGTAGCTAGTAGATGGAACTTTTTTATGTCATTCGTCGAGCTGCTGTCTGGCTATTTGACGATATGTGTTGATGGTAAAATTTGCAGAATTTACGTCACATGTAACGTATTTAATGGACTACCGCTGTGCGTAAAAAAAAATAACTATATTAATTTATTACCAGCGTAATCTATGTAGGACAGGGGTCGGCAACCTGCGGCTCGCGAGCCGCATGCGGCTCTTTTGATGTCAAGATGCGGCTCTCCAGCTCCTTGCACAAATACTAATAATCTTAATAAAAAAATAAAATACTTGAAATAAAAAAATTAAATTCTCGTATATTACATTTTAAAATCCTAATATATAAATGCCCATCTGCGCACCTCTCTCTCACTTTCTCTCTGTCCGCTTTTCTTTATAATTATTTAAATAATAGTGTATTGTTATATATTTATAGAAAATAATCTATTTTCTCTTTTAAATGCATAATTACATAAAAGCTTGTTATTAAATACTTCCTTGTGTATAAAACAGAAATCCGCTGTTATAATCAATTAGGCCTATAATCTATCACTTGAACAGTTCACTTAAAACATCAGTTTCTATTGAAATAAGCATAAATGCTTCAACTTCAAGGTGTTTAGAAAGTAGCTTATGCGTGGTGAGGGGAGGGCGCTCCCCCCACGAAGATTTTTTTTTGGAGAATAGTTACAATTTAAAACAAGTTCTGCAACACACACACGTTGTAAAAAAGGACAACAGCAAACACATTACTGATACCGCAATTAAAACTATCATGTTATGTACCCTAAATATCACATTTTAAATAACTCATCGCAAGTAAAAGATCTATTCTATAGCCTACCTCTTGGTTTACGTTAGCACCTGTACATCAGCTGTATGAGTTATCCTCGTTGGATTTAGACCGCTAACCACCTGCATGTCGATCTTAATTCACGTGTGTTTAAGTTGTCAGGCTCAATACAATCATCCGTCTGTTATACGTTTTTAAGATCAGTCTAGAAACGTAGGGAAATTGTTTACTTAAAGTGTTCCCCGTAGAATACGATTTTGCTTATCTTGAATATGTTAATACTAGCAGGAAGGGAAACTGCTGATCCTTTGCCTGTCAGCTGTTCTTGAAAATGTTCCTAAGGTATCTGGTACAGAAGCACATATTTTAAAATGGATTGTGTTAAAAACTCTATGCAACTATATTGGGGGGGTAGGGGGGGGGGACTGAATAGATGTACAGTAAAAGTAAACACATTCTCACACAACTTGAAGAACGTTAATATGAGTCAAGATGATCAGAACGTACAGATTTACTTAACGAATGTTGGTGGTTGTCTTCATCATCCAGTCGATGGTAGGAAGGAAGAAGAGTGGGCACAATAGACATCCTCGCGGGACTCCGGTTGGCACCTAAAAACAGTCTTTAAGTTGCCCGCCATCGACAACTCAGCAGGAGTCTGCAGGACTTCGTGTTTGTTTGTTTTTAAATCGGGTTCACCATATTTGAGGAATGCCGTAGTAGCGTACGAGCTTCCAGAAAGCTCGATCCACTCTCTCGAAAGCATTTTCATAATCAATCAAATTAATGTACATTGGTGAATTCTACTCTATTGACTGCTAAACTATTATGCGATCTGGCTTGTGATCTTTTCTGTCGAAATTCTGCTTGTTTGTCTCTTAGCTCTGGTTCAATGACATTTCTCGGCCTATTTAAGAGTACTCTGTTGAAAACTTGCCCAAGTATTATAAGGAGTATGATCCCCTGTAACTGTTACAGTTACTGAGGGCGCTTTGCTTGGGAAGTTTTATCAGATGACCTTCCTGCCAGTCCGCCGTTATTTCTACATCTTTACAGGTGCCTCCTGGTCTGCTGGGATATCTTAATATCTTCTCTAGTTAGTATCTCGCAGTTGATGGTGAGATCAACTTCATTAAGGTCGATGTCTGGTGGGTTCAGAAGTAGACCTACTGATCTATTTAGGAGTTCCACTAAGTCATGGGTCTCCAATCTTTTCAGCCCGAAGGCCGCATTTAATATAAAACAGTTCGGGGGCCAGAATTGTTTCAAGGCATTTCTTCGGGGAGGTAGAGCCCCCCCCCCCCCCCCCCGAAGAATGTCTACCTAATCTCACCCTCCCCACGAAATATAATCTATATAGAAATATATACAAATTTTAAGTGTCGTCGTCCACCCCCTCCCCCGGAGAAAAAAGTCTGAAAGAAAGACGCTAGGGGACAAACAACAAACACCAGGTCCAAGTTTGTTATCAAATGGTTGTTCACGTATTTCATTCTTGAAAATGTTTGTTTACACGGGTATGTTGTTGCAAAATTTGAAAGGTACTTTGATGCAAACGTTTTAGGAAAGTCTTCCTTGGTCAAAAACTTCTAAAAAACCTACCCTTCCTACTTTGAACTAGTCTCTACGGAGGTAAATTGCTTGTCATTCATCAATGACCTCCAGTTGCAGTTCATCTGGGCAACTGGCCAAATTTGCTTCTTATGGGTGTTGAAATAGTCTTCCTTGTTCTGCCTGTGAATCCAAGTCAGCAAACCGCCACTGAAACTGCAGCTGGATGTCTTTGATGATAATGCATGGAAATGACCTGGGGCACAGCTGTTGCTTTAGCTATGAAGACCTTGCACTGCTGAAAGTGCGTCAAGTTGTTGGCTTGTACTTGTCCCGAAAACATGACAAGTTTGATTCTGAAGGCCTTTAGATGGGTGTATAGATCAGAAACGATTTCCCTCTCTTGTAGTTTTAGGTTCAGAAAATTTAAATGACGTGTTACGTTTGCAGCAGAGGCCAATTTCTATACTTTTCATCAGACATTAACGGCAGCGGCTTGCTTTGTTTTCCAGGAAGTCACCTATTTCCTTTCTTAACTTAAATACCCTGCTCAGAACTTTCTCAAAACTTAGTCATTGCACTGGTAAATCTTGCGATTCTCTGTTTGTATTTCACCATCTTCAACACAGGATTCACTACACTGCGTATGTCCACATATGTAGCACACAAAGCTTACTGTTGAATAATTAATACAGTGCAGGAACATTAGTTGTAGAATGTTTTTCTCATTACACATCTGCTCCGCTTGTCCAACCAAGCCTTTCTTTATGCCACTAATGTTCTCCCTCCGTCAACAGTCAGGTAACTGAGGTTAGTCCAGTCCAAATTATAATCAGCAAGGGTTTTTTTTTTGGTCAAATTATTGAATATATCCTCTCCGGTAACAGTATCATAAAAAGCCAGCTCTTGTGTTATGTTTATGTCTTCATCCACACCTCTAATAAACACAAGTAGTTGAGAGGTGGAACCGCTGTCCAGCGACTCATCCATTGCAATTGAAAAATTGCGAAACTTGCTAGCATTTTTCGCTATTTGAGTCACAGTGTTTCATGTCTGCAACATGGTGGGCAACGGTAGTTGCACCGAAAGCTATATTATTTATTGACAGTGTTCCTTCCAGACTTTTTTCTCGGGGGGGGGGGGGGGGGGGGCACTTGAAATTTTTTGGGTTGGGGGGAGGGGCGGACACTGTTAGAGTATATATATTCTATATAAATTATATAAATTTCGTTCGGGGGGGGGGGGGCGGTAGAATTATTGTTTGGCCCTATTTTTTTTGCGTTGAAATCCCCCAAGAAAATGGTGATGTCCTTTTCTGGATATATTTCCAGAATGTTTTCGAGTCTGTTATAAAATTAGTTTTTTCTTTCCGTCATTTATAGGAGCAGAGCACTGGACGATATTCAGTTTGATGTACTTTTTCTATGTGCAAATAGATGCTACGGTAATTCTTGGGCCGTATACCTCCCATTCGATCAGTGCTTTCTGATTTTGCGCGGTCCATTGCAGTTGTTGTGCCCGGATTAAATCAGTAGTTCCGATGTTACCAGTCGTTTTTGCCCAGCCTGTGTCCACCATACTTCGCCTAATACGGTTAGTCTATTTATATCCGGTTCGGCTGGCACCTGTGCTGTCTTTCCTGCTTCATACGTTCCAGGCACCGACGTTAATTTTCCTGATCAAAAGAAGGGTTGTCGGCGGATCGGCTTTCTCCAGTCCGCGTCATGTCTCTTTGTAATGAAGATCTTTTTAGTATATTTACTCCCAGGACAGAATTGTCTAAATGTTATCTGTTTGGCCTTTCTGTAACGAGCTTTGTTTTACAGGACCAGGTTGTTAGCCCAGAGCCCAACCTTAAGGGAATCACCTTCCAGATCACAGGATAGCTGCCGATTTTGGTCCACCCCGGGTATTTGATTTCCCCGTCACCTTCCATGGTGGCATTCGTATCCGCCACCCGGAGAGGCGCTCGATTGAAAATCGGCTACTCCACACGAGTTTTATAATCATTCTATGTTAATAACACTACACACAATTGTTTTAATATTCAAAGGGCATCTCAAGAGTATTCCCATGGGGTGGAATGGTAGGATGAAGAGCGTACATACAATTGCTAACCTGAATGTCTTTACTTTGGATTCCGGGGTCGTAACCCAGCATCCTCCATATAATTTTTTTTACACAAACTGATTTTCCTGTTATCAGAGTTTAGGCCAACCAAGCTGCCAGATTCATTTCTTCTAATGGACACCAGCGAGAAAAGTCTCAAAGGTATTTGAGAGGTGTATAAATTCATTTAAAAATCTTGCACGGCGTAGTTACAATTAATATGGTTATAAAAACCTGTCTGTCTGGTTTTTTTCGGACTTTACTAAAGATTGGGTGTATTTGATGTTTTTAAAATTTACGGTAACTAAATAAAAATTAAAAAAAAAGCAAAAACAATTTGGTTTTCACGTGTAATGGCGACATAAACAATGGCCGCCTTAAATTTTATTGTACACATTGTAAGCTAAAAATAGAAAAAATAGGTCATGTATTTAAATTTGCATAGTTATTTAAAAACTTGATCTGCAAAGTTTTGTAAACAAAATAACTATAAAGTGGGGCTGTCAGAAATCGATCACGGAGTTCCTTTACAGCCAATCAATGTTTGTCTTACGAAAGTGAAACATCGGGTTAAAACTTAGGCTTGATGAAAATAAATAGAAATGTAGCCTTAAACTCAACAAATTATGTTCAAGTTCTCTGGATCTGCAACTTGTATAGCATTGATTCTAAAAATATTACATTTCTGAATTAATTTTAGGCTTAAGTTTTTGATAAAATTTTATCTTTTATTAGTTTTATGGTCCTAAATCTAAAAAAGCACATTTTTATTCCATGTCAACAACATTAGGGAAGGAATCTCGTCAACTCGCTGGTGTCCATTGATAAATTGGCATTCAAGTCCAAGAAAATAAACTCCTTTACAGATGGGGGTCTACTGTCCTTGATTAAAACTAATTCCGTTCCAGAGCCTACACATTATATTATTTACAATCATTAGTGAAAATGGTGGGGGTAAAATTTCTACTTGCACGTTAGAAAGGGGGGGGGGTGCAATACATAGGGTAGTAATTGATAAGTGTGAGTAATGTCCTGCTTCAGTAAGAAAGGTGTAGAATATATTTTAGTTGAAAATATGTATTGCATACTAAGTTTTGAAGGTCAAAAGATATGTATAAGCTGCATCATCTATTTCTATTGATTCATCTATTTCTATTGATTCATTCTTTTGAAGCTACTACTTTAGTTATAACTGACACAGATTGCAATTAAAAAGAGTAATTTTTGTTAAAATAAACATTTTTCCCTACCTTGTTTTCAGACTGAAATGATATCTTGGAATGCATGGGATGAAAAGCCTATCGATGGACTATATCAATCTTTGCCAGGAGATGTCCCCAATATAAATGTACAGAGAAAGGATAAAAACACTATCAATGCAATGAAATCTCCTGTTGAGAAGGCTGCTTATGTAAACAAGTATCAAGTTAACCAGAAGCAGACTGATGATATCACAGAGCCAGACGTTAATTTTTTTGAAGATATGGCACCAGAAGTGATTCGGCAACCTAAGGTTTAAGTTTTTTTCAATTGTTTAATGAAAAGAAAACGTAAGCTGTTACTGATATTTTGTGTAATTAATGTTCAAAGAATTGTTTAAATCACATTAAACACTCTAAGTTGTTTTCCTGTATGAGGTCATCCATTTATGACGTCTACACAAGTGTGTGTGTGTGGGGGGGGGGGGGGGGGTCCGAAAAAAATAATGAAAAAATATTTAAAAATTGTACATAAATGTAGGTTATACATTAAGTCGGCAGTTCTTGTGTTAAATGTATCAGAAATGCAGCTGTAAACCGCCAGCCTAAAAAAAAATATTTTTTTTTACAAGCGGGAGGGGGCGGGTCATTTACCGCGGCAATTTTCTAAAACAATTCTTGCTATTTCAAGTTCATTTTTAAACATTTCAAACAATTATAAATAAATCACAGTAATAGTAGTCCTACAATCGTTAATTTGTGTCAAAGGCTAAAATGATGTTGATCTTATCATTTTTTTTTTCATTTAAAAAACCCAAAATAACCACGTTACAATTTAGATATTTAAATATCAGCGTGTGTATAAATAATGTGCTCGCTTGTTCAGGTGTGTAGGGCTAATGGTCAGCGCGAACACACAAAAGGGGGAGTGGTGGTTTGTTATGTAAACACGTGTAACGTAAATGACGTCACTCTGATTAGCCAATTTACCCTAACCTATATAGTCGCTACAAAGTGACATTAAAAAGTTCGGTCTACAGTATCTTCAATAGAAAAAATTATTTTATGAATGCCTGCAATCTCTGACTCTTTATGAAAAATAGTGGGTAAAAAAACTTTTAAAATCGAGATGCATGCGCGATCATTTTTTTTAAATTAAGAACAGTTTTAGGTAATCTTAGCACAATTAACACAACCACAGCGAATTTACACGCCCGTAGACTTGCGGATATCTTGGAAAAGTTGGAACTCCCAATTATTATTTAGGCCTGGAAATAGATGTTACCCAAAATATCAAATCCCTATATAACATCAGTTAATAATATAACAATGTACACATTACATTTTAATAAATCAGTGATTTTGCAGCTTGTTTTAAGAGATTTACTAAATTTTTGTAGGGGGGGGGGGGGGGGTAAAATTCCAAATTTTTGTTGATGTCATAAATGGATGACCCCTATTTTTATTTTATATCTTTATTTTTAAAAAGAAAAGGTTAAAATATTAACATACCTATTATGAACGTTACAGATATTTATAAGAAAAAAAGAAACTGTATACAGTTCATTTCCTGTATCAAATAGACTGACAGTCATGTCAGACTTACCATTGGCTGTAAGTATGATTAAATTGTTTATTTATAATATTGTTACTTATCACTTTATGACATTAAAGAAATATTGTAAGATCTTAATTTTATATTATGAAATTTTAAAAAGTGTTATTTTACCTGTAAATAATCTCAGAAACAATCACATTAGTGCTCATACTTATGTGTGTAGTTGGCCCGAAACATATTTGAGATCGTTTGTGATGTCATTAGATTTTCATTTTCTGTTTGTATGGAATCTGGATTACTCCAGCATTTAGTATAAGGACTTTATTTTTATATTGCCTACTCAAACCCTGAAGTTTTTAAAATTCAAATTTTGGAAATCCGAAAAGTAAAAAAAAAAAATTGATTTCTCGAATCCGGAATTCCTGGATAACTCGAATAAATGACACCCCAGCACATGTATATGTCATACAATATCTCAAAATAACTTCGTCCATAAAAATATAATTGGATTAAAAATTAAAATTAGCACGTTGACCGTACCGGTAGTGCTTAGTTACGTCAACAATAGACCAAATAAGCAAAGCTCTTATTTCATCTGACGGGCTTTTTAGGCAACAAACATTATGCTTAAATCCTCTAACGGGCTTTCAAGGGAAAAAATCTTATGGTTTAGATCACGGGTTCCCAACCTGGGGGTCGCGAAGGTCTTTCTGGGGGGTCGCCAACTGGTATACTAAACCTTAGTAATTTGAAACAAAACATAAATATTTAGAAGAATTTTTGAAATTCGGCTTCATTAACATCACTGGAAATGTAATAGAGAAAAAACAAAGCGCACTGTACAAAGTTGTTCTCAGTCACGCATCTATGAAATCTTCAAAACTAAAACGTCATTTGAGATGAGTCATTCGGAACACACCAAAAAATATATGGAGTTCTTTCGTCGGTAAGAAGCTAGTTGCAAACGCCAGAGACTTGATCGAACAGGAAGTTTTCACCAGCATTAGTGCAAGCATCAAATGAAGTCGCGATAGAAAATGCCAAGCAAAAAAAAAAAAAAACAATAGGAGAAAATATCATCAAACGCTGCATGTACGTAAATGTTAAATAACACATTTTTTATTGAAATTAAGCTTTCACCATTGCGTTTCAAGTTGATAAATCAACAGACGTGAGTTCGTGTTGGCAGTTGCTGGTCTGTGTCTATATTCATGCGGATGATAGCAAAGAAGAGTTGCTATTTTGTGGAGATAGCATCGAGAAAATAAATGCGTTTTTTTTTAAACGGGATGATTAAAATGGGTTAGAATGGCTTTGGGGGTTTGTACGGATGTTGCGCCATCTATGTTTAGCTCAAAATCGGGCTTTCAGAAAACAGAAAAGATTTGGCTCCCTAACCACTGCCCTAACCAATCGACATCAAGAGTCCATTGCTAGTATAAGTCGTAAATTATATAAAATCTGGAGCCTTCAAAGAACTGAGCAAAAACATTAATATAGATCACGAGGTTCTGCTCTTCTACACTACAGTACGCTGGCTGTCAAACGAAATGTTGTAAATTGTGTTTTTGAATTGAAATCTGAAATCAAATTGTTCTTGGAAGTGCAAAGGAATCAAGACTTTTTGGTATACTTAAAACGACATTGAGTGGTTGGAGAGAGTATCATACCTAGCAGATGTGTTCGAACATCAAGATAAGCTTAACCTGAAGATTCAGGGAAAATGAACGAATATTATAACTTTCCATGATAATCTCGGGACATTTTTATCAAAGCTGCAAAATCGGTAAAGAAAATAAATCTTGGAAATATTGTAAATTTGAGAAACTCTGCGGTGTGGTAGATGAATCTGATTGTGAGATAATTAAAAATTTGAAAGAAGCGATTTCTGGGCATCTTGAATCTCTTGAAAACGAACTGCATCTCTATTTCTCTGAGCCGAAAAAAGAAGAATCTGCATTTACGCATTACCCATTCTCTTCTTCCCTTGATGTTGCCAGCATTCCCGGTGAATTACAAGAGGAATTCTTTGATTTGCAGAGTGATTCCGAGTAAGATGAAAAACTGCAGACACAATTTTGGTGGAGTATTCACCATTCATACCCAAACGTAAAATTGATTGACTTTTCGAGAATATATTTTCAACACTATTCTTCGATTAAAAACAAAATTAAGATAATTATAATGACATAGGTTGGCATTAAGGGGGTAGGCTCCAGAAAAAACCAACTTCTTAATTAAAAGCTTTTATTGATTTATTTGTATATATCTAAGTTAGGGTACATGTAGGAAAATATTTCCATGCATCAGGGACTCTTTTGATCCTTCTTGTACTAACGCTAATAGAGTCAGCTGGCTAGTTTTTGTAACAGAAATCACTCTAGAAATATTTTTTTTAATTTTCAAAATTCGGTGTGACGAAATTCCAATGAAAATAATGCTAAATTCAATGGGATTTCACAAAAAAATTTTTTGAAAATTTGAAAAAAATATGTCTAGCTGTTTTTCGGTTACAAAAATTAGCCAGCTGGCTCTATTGGTGTTAGTACAATAAAGATCAATGATTATATGTGCGGTTTATATGTTACTTTAGGAAATTTTAGAACTCCACATCGGTAGTTTTTTCCAAGATGGCCGCCGTTTCCATGGCAACCATATTTTCAGAAGAGTCCCTGGTACATCCAAATATTTTTCCTTAAGTACCCTAACTTATACATACACAAATAAATGTAAAAGGCTTTTTAATTAAAAAGTTTTTTTCCCCGTTTTTTTCGGGAGCCTATCCCCTTAACAAAAATTTTAAAAAATTAAAAACTTAACCACGAAGGTTTAGTGAATAGTATGCAATTTTACTCATGCTATTAAAAAAGTTATCAAGAGTAGTTCATATTGAAAGTCTACTAGAAAATCTTATTTTAGTGCTTATTACTTTCGATACTAATTTCGGCTTTTTAATTCTATGGGGGTCGCGGGTCTTTTACTTTTTATAAAAGGGGGTCGCCACTCATAAAAGGTTGGGAACCACTGGTTTAGATGAAATAAGATTTCCTCAATATTATTTCCTTAGACTAACCATATAATTAATTCTTACGTAACTCTATAATAGATTATTATCCGTTGAAATATTGTAATTATTAATGCAGTTTGCACTAAAAATAAAAATTAAATACAGCGAGAGTGATCTCCCCTGTATGTGGTGGACAGATGACGGGCCCTTAATAATATGAAAGGTATATAGTAAAAAAAACTCGATTTGATAGCCTTAGCGTAATATTCTTAAAGTAATTATTATCTAACTGAGTGATTTAAAAAATTAATATGGATAGTTTTGTAAAAAAAAACAAACTTCATTTTCCAATTGTGCCATTTTAAATAACGTCACGTGAAATAAACAAGTTAAGGAAAATGTATCATACTTCACAAAAATTTAAAAAGTGTACAAATCACTTAACGTCATTTCATTTATCGTCGATCTCTTCCCTTGATAAATCAGAAGAAGATAAAATGTTTACTTCCCTTTAAAAAAACATTACATCGGGGGGGGGGGGGGGGGGGAGGTGGGATTTTTTTCTTTTGTTTGTTTTGGTGTTGGAAAAAAATATATATAATTAGCGTGGATTGATAAAGTGCAATGCGGTAGGTAAATACTGCCTTTTATTTATTTTATACACGGAACGTACTATTTACTAATTATTTTTTTAAATCAATAGCAGTTTAGAAGCCGCTCATGAATGTCCTCTATGTTTACTTCTATCTGTCGGTTTGCGGAGAAGCTGGGGGTATTGTAGTCGTTTACTAAATCGAATAAGGCATTCCGGCAGGGTTCGATTTGGCGCCCTGGGCTATCCTATGAGCGCTATGGTGCATACGTTCGTTTTAAACAGTGCAATAGACTATGGATAAGAAAGGTTACAATAGAATTTAACAATAGTCGGATTCGGACGTTCTCCGGCTCCCCGACAGTATGCTATAGAGTCCTTGCAAACACGTGACCTAAATCACGTGATACCTACGCCCGCCGCCACAGTGGTGTACATCGGACGCAAACACAATCAGCTGTTCACCAGCGCTGGACGCGTTCACTGTGTGTAAAGAACGGCACCCGCGGAAAAGGAAAAATACGTTAAAAAACTTGAAATCTTAAGAATTGAAGATCCTTATACTGTTATTGACAGTTTCGTGGATAATATAAATATGTGGCCGAAATTTCTAAATAAATATTCTGTTAGTAATACTGTTTGCGTTAAGAGTTTAAGTAGGTATATTATAGGTTATCTAAATCTGGTTAATGTAGATTATAGATTCTCTGTTAAGTACAAGATTTAGTAGCAACAGATCTAGTACAACCACACTACTGTAGCAAACGTGAGACCATTTAACTCCTAAAAAACACACACTACAACGGCTAATATAATTCATGGGTAATAACCACTGCTGTTCTTAGATCTCAGCCAATCTGGGTAGCATGTTATACAATTTAAGACCCTTATAATCCAGCAGGGAAGTGATCAGACACATTAATACTGATGTTCAACCCTCAATAAAACCAAAGAGGAGTCAGTACCACTGCCCTCCCCTGAAAATTTCTCACCTCCGTGATACCCTCAGGGCCCAGCAGGGAGAACAAAGGGGAAAGTCCCACTGCTCTCCCTTCAACATTTCTCACCTCGATGTCATGTTATGTCATTTATAGCACACATGGCTTATCAGGGGAAAGCATTAAGAATCTTAACTCTGGACAGCTACACACTAGTATACTAGCTACACACTAGGTGCCTACTGTAAACTACTAGACTGTAGGCCCTATGTAGACCTGCAATTGTATCAATTGTAGACTGGGTCCATTGTTATTATTCTAAACCATCTCACTCATAATGTTTCTAGCTTGATTTGTTTCTTTTATAAACAGTGGATTTTTTTTAAAAAATTAGCCTAATCATTAACCAAATAATAATAATGTGGTTATTTGTTGTTGGCTGGTATGATCTAGATTCTACTACTAGGCTACATAAACTTAGTAGACTAATTACTAGATATGCATTTTAATTTAATTAAACTCAGTCCAGTATCAGATACATATTGCTGTAAAAAGACATAAAGTAGGTAGGCCATAGTAATTTATTAAAGTCTTCTACTACAATATCAATTATATGCTTGTATAAAATTTTTAAAATTTAATTTAAGTAGCAGATTGTAGATCTAAGTCTAGTCATACAATCTATTTCAATTTCAGAAAATTTCGTTTGCTAAAAAAGTGATTAGATTGTAGAGCGAGATTTTAGATCTTAGAGACAATTAAATGCTTTATTAGGCCTATGACTACTTTCGATTTATTATGGGTGTATTTTGAATCGAATGTAGATCTAAATTTTGTAATTAAATTTAAGTAAAGAAGTAGATTCTAGATTCTATGTCAGCGGAGCCAGTCACCCTAAATCCAGAATCTAGATATGTGGTCCGAATTTAGTTTACGCCATGTTTAGAGCTAGATTCTAGATCTAGATATTAAAACACTATTATTAGGCCTACTATTAGATCTTATTCTTCTTATTATTACTTTTGAGTTTGTCTTTTATTAATAGTTATCTTTTATAATTAAAATGAAATTTATTATTTTACTGTCCTTACCTGAAACAAAGTATCGAGAACTGCATTTGATCAGATTCGTCTACTTAAACTCTAAACGCAAACAGTATTACTAACAGTTTTTTTATTTAGAAATTTTGGTCACATATTTATATTATCTACGAAACTGTCAATAACAGTATAAGGATCTTCAATTCCTAAGAGTTCAAGTTTTTTAACGTATTTTTCCTTTTCCGCGGGTGCCGTTCTTTACACACAGTGAACGCGTCTAGCGCTGGTGAACACGTCCAGCGCTGGTGAACAGCTGATTGTGTTTACGTCCGATGTACACCACTGTGGCGGCGGGCGTAGGTATCACGAACGGACGTGACGTCATATGAAAGGACTCTATTTTGCGCTTCGGGCATTCCCGTGTTCGCTATTGCGCCTAAGTTCGTTTCAGTGAGTACAAAAGACTATGAATAAATTGGGTTATTATAGTCGTTTACTAATTTAAACCAGGCGGTTCCGCCTGCGCCCCGGGCTAGACTGTAAGCACTTTGCGTTTATGTTTGCATTTAAGTTTGTGTTTATGTTCGCGTTTACTTTTTCTAGTAACAGGGGCGGAACTATCTTGCCGCCAGGCCTGGCAAGGAGGAGGGAGCAATTCCGACCAAAAAACCAATGAATTTTATTTTCATACATGTTTTTCGTGCACCTTGATAGAATTTTTTTTTAAAAAGTGTACTATAGCAGTGATTGTTCTACAGTAGGTAACACACATTGTTGCGTAGAAATATATTTTTAAAAATCGAAATAAAATGTAATGAAAATAATTACATGTGTTTTTTTTAATAATGCAAGACTTTTTTTAATTAAGTAAAAAAAAAATCCATACGAAGAAAATAAATGATTTTCTTTAAATATTTTATAATTAATGATACACTACTATTTACATAACTATAACTTTTTACACCTAATCGAGTTGGAAAAACTGTGCTTTGCAATTCTGTCTGTGCGGATGTGTGTATTTCTGTGAACACGATAACTTGAGTACCGTTACAGCTAGGTGGATGAAATTTCATATATAAGTATTATATCAAAGTTGTAATTTTATATCAACTTTTCTGCAATTTCCGGCAACGGGAAGTGGACTTTATTCTTCGTTCGTGTTTTTCAATAGTCTTTTAATTGAGAACTGTTTCTGACAGGTAGAAGAAATTTCAGTTATCAGTAAAAGATCTTATTTTATGATTTCTGAGAAATTTTGAGTAATTTTCCATTACTTGAAATAGTACTTTACGCTATTTCCGATTTCTCGAAAAACGCATATGAATTTATTAAGTACTAATATTCCGCACTATGATACACACTTTGTTTGCTGTTCACTTGGTGCGCTATTCTTTTTTTCTGCGAGATTCTATTCTATTTTTAAAAGTTGAAGTAATTTAAATTTTATTTTTAAAATCATGTCTATATCCCGAGCTGCCATCCCGCGTAGTGTTACATAAGTATATTCGAGCTTTTTTCAGTGCTTTAATTTTTTAATACATTAGACCAGTGGTTCCTAAACTTTTTCGAATGGCGACCCCCTTTTATAAAAAGTAAGTGACCCGCGACCCCCATAGAATTAAAAAGCCGAAATTAGTATGGAAATTAACAAGCACTAAGATAAGATTTTTTAGTAGACTTTCAATATAAACTACCCTTTATATCTGTTTTAATACCATGAGTAAAATTGCATGCCATTTACTAAACATTCACGGTTAAGTTTTTGTTAACGCCAACCTATGTCATTATCAACATTCAATTTATTTCTTAATTTTGTTTTACGTTTGGGTATGAATGGTGAATACTACAGCAAAATTGTGTGTACAGTTTTTCATCTTACGCGAAATCATTCTGCAAATCAAAGAATGCATCTTGTAACTCATCGGGAATGCTGGGAACATTAAAGGAAGAAGAGAATGGGTAATGCGTCAATGCAGATTCCTCTTTTTTCAGCTCAGAGAAATAGCGCTGCAGTTCGTTATCAAGAGATTCAAGATGCCCAGAAATTGCTTCTTTCAAAATTTTAATTATCTCACAATCAGATTCATCTACCACACTGCAGAGTTTCTCAAATTTACAATATTTCCGAGATTTATTTTCTTCGCCGATTTTGCAGCTTTGATAAAAAAATGCCGCGAGATTATCATGGAAAGTGATTCGTTCATTTTCCCTCAAGCTTCACGATTCACATTTCCTTTGGAAAGCCAGCGTACTGTAGTGTAGAAAAGCAGAACCTCTTGATCTTTATTTATGTCTTTGCTCAGTTCTTTGAAGGCTCCAGATTTAATATAATTTACGACTTTTACTACCAATGAAGTCTTGATGGCGAGGGCAGTGGTTAGGGAGCTTAATCTTTTCTGTTTTCTGAAAGCCCGATTTAACCTAAACATAGATGGCGCACCATACGTACAAACCTCCACAGCAGTTTTAACCCATTTTAATCACCCAGTTTCATAAAACGTATTTATGTTCTCTATGCTATCTTCACAAAATAGCAACTCTTCTTTGCTATCATCTAAATGAATATAGACAAAGACCAGCAACTGCTAACACGAACTCATGTCTGTTGATGTATCAACTTGAAAGGCAAACAATGGTGAAAGTTTGATTTAAATAAAAAAAATGTGTTATTTAACATCTAAGGACATGTCTGAAATAAGCCGCTGAATAGTATTATTAGGAAGAGATATTTGTTGCATCTTTACTGCACTGGAATCCCCAAGAATTAACATCCCCATCTTCAACATGCAGCGTTTGATGAGATTTTCTCCTATTGTGTATTTTTTTTTTTTTTTTTGCTTGGCATTTTCTATCGCGACTTCATTTGATGCTTGCACTAATGCTGTGTTTCTTTCGTGAAAACTTCCTGTTCTGTCAAGTCGCTGACGTTTGCAGCTCGCTTTTTGCCGACGAAAGACCTCCATATCTTTTTTTGGTGTGTTCCGAATGACTTGTCTCAAGTGGCGTTTTAGTTTTGGAGATTTCATAATCTCGTGTCTGAGAACAAATTTGTACAGTACGCATTGCTTCTTCCCTATTCCATTTCCAGTGATGTTAGTAAAGCCGAATGTCAGATACTCCTTTAAATATTTATGTTTTCTTTCTCATTACTAAGGTTTAGCATACCAGTTGGCGACCCCTCTGAAAGGCTTTCACGACCCCCAGTTTGGGAACCCGTGCAATAGCCTAATAGAGTTGCATGGCTAAAAACAATTGAGCACCTAATGAACATGATAACGCGGAAATAGAAGCACAAGTCTCCCTACAAATTTCATAAAATTTTAATTAATTTATAATACAATTAATTAGTCATCCAATTCAGTCAAATTTATTGTATTATTGCATTGTCTTCAAGTCTTGACCCACGTACCAACTTTGAAAATTTCCGATTAATTCAAAGTAGAAAATAAAATATTTTCTTTAAATATATAATAATACTAAACGGTTGTGTACCACAGTTCGTGGGTTAAATTTTTTTTATTGTATTATAGCATTCTGAATTGGAAGCTTGGGAAGATCAAGCTAATGCTTGGGATGTAGAAGATGCTTCAGAAGATTTAACATGGAAAGCTCAGGAAGCTATCAGAGAAAAAAGACGAAAAGAGAGGCAAGAGAGACAAATGGAACAGCTAAAGAAAAAGCAAAGTAAGGAAGCAAACAAAGGAATCAAAAGCACATCCTTAGCCGCAACCAAGTTGTCATAATAAAATTGCGAGTTACACTATAAACATCTTTTTTGTTTAACACTTTTTTTGTGTGCTGACTTTTTAAAAGCTTTTTAGAGAGGCCTGTTATTATCTTTAAGTTTAAACTGTATTTGCTATGTTTATTTTATTTTACAGAAGAAACAAATGAAGAGCTTAAATGTGTAGAACGTTTGCCATGTGTATAGCAGTTTAATTAGATAGCGTAGTTGGATAGCATAGCTTTCGACTGCTAACCCAAAAGTATCGAGTTCTGATCCTGGGCTTGAGTTCAGCCTGAGTTAGCCAGCTCTGATGGGTACCTTACTCACATTTGGTAAAGTAAAGCCGACGGAGTATTGCTGACCACTATCCCTTCATATGCGGTCACTTTTAACTTTACTTTTCAAACTTGGGTTGTGTGGCAATGCCTACCCCTTGCTCACTTTCTCACATATAATATTTTTCCTAATTATGAAAAAAAGTACAAAAACATTTTATGCCCATCTTTGTCATTTCGTTTATATGCCTGCTAAATGTAAAATGTGTCAATAATATTGAATTGATTAGGAAAATAGATTCCTCATAAAAGTTCTCTTCCTCAAGGGGCGGTCTCATAGTATTTCGCAGGGAGCCCATTTCAACCTTTAAGACCCCTATCTTAATCATAACCTTCCATTTTGTCCTGTCCCCGGCTGTCGAGTTTGCAGTCTCCCAAGACTCCGTTTTGGGCCCGCTATCTTCTGCCTTCTTTGGGAGCTCCACTCACTAGCGATTCAACTTTTTGAGTGAGCCTTTCACAGAGTGTGCCCCACCCAGTGCCTCCTTCATATATGCACTGTCATGGGCTCCTGTCTTTGCCTTTTTAAAACAGTCCCAGAGCTTTTTTTGTTCATAAATCTCAAGTAGTAAAAACAATTATGACGTTTTAAAAAGTTCGTTTTTTAATTGTCTTTCAACATCATAAAAAGTGCCATGTTTGGGAGTTATATCTGTAAAGGTATATCACACAAACTCAATCTTTTGAACTCAACACATAGACCCACAGAGAAAAGACTCATTGTTTTTCAAACCTTAAAAATAAGTATCATTTAAATTAATTGCATCGTAATTAGCTTTTCTCACTTTTTATAAAATTAAAAAGGGAAGTAAAAAAACACAAATTTTGTACATTTAAAAAAAAATCACCAACAAAATATCTGATGAAAGAGCATAATTGATAAGTAGTTATAACAAAATCTAGGGGAACAACGCTTTTTTTAATTTAAGAAATATGTATGCGTATAACACGTAGGCCTACATTTGAAACACGTCTAATCAAAAGAGTGCAGAATCCACAATTTGTCGAAAATGCGTCTTTTTTTAAATACAAAAATAAATTATGACATCTACAGCAGATCCTGCTATATGGAAATATAGAATAACCGTAGCTCTGAACAGGTTAACAGTCTTTGTGTCTGTGACGCATTTATATGCCATCCAATGTGACCAGAAAGAGGCGCAACGGAAAAAATGCGCAACGGAAAAAAGCGCAAACAGAAATTTGCGCACACAGAAAATTGCTCACACGGAAAAATGAGCAAATAAGAAAAATATGCACAAAGAAAATGAAACACAGTTTTTTCATCAATTATAAGTGTGACTATATATATATATATATTTATATATATATATATATATATATATATATAATATGCCTATATATAATTTAAAATAGATAGCTTTTAATATGAAATAATATTTATTAAACATACACATGATTGGCACAAAATATTAAGGTATTTTTAACAGAAAAATGCACAGGCAGAAAATTGTGTAAGTATGTGTTTGTGTGTGTGTTTATGTTGCATGTTTAAGTTGGTCTGTATATGTGTGTATACATAGACGTATATTTTTCATTCCCATTCCTCTATATTTTTATAAAAAATGCCATAAATTACTAATATTTTCCGACCTTACATACATAGATGCTGTTGACCGAAGGTTCTTCGACCATAGATGATTGGCTCACACGTTGTTTGACAACAGCGAAGGGTTGTCCACGCGAATTTGTAAACCAGGGCTGTGTAATCAGATGATATGACCAAACGTGGTTTGCACGACTACGCCTAAACCTACACCGACCGTCGACTGACCGACGAGCCGACCGACCGATCCGGCACTGTACCTAAGTCAAAATCACGAGAGTCTTGCAGATGGGTGACTGGGTAGCAGAACGAACAGCAATTATTTTCCCTAAAATAGCATCACAGATTGCGGTCTAATACACTGAAGTCAAGCATTAGTGGCGTTCCTTGCAGTGCCCCCCCCCCCCATAAGAGTCTTCTGCTCTCCTTGAACGAAATGGAATTAATATTGAAAATGTATACTTATAACAGTATCAGCTTCCGCTACCCCCCACCCCCGGAAATAAAGTCTGGAAGAAACACTGCTTCCCTGTAAGTTATTACATGAGCTAAGCATCCGTCCATCCTGCTTACAAGTTATTCTTTGACATGTTCAAATGGAGGTACTGATATTTTTGCGTGCAATTGCACTGCTCTCTTTTAGTTAACCGACAACCTGTTATTCCAATGACAATCGAATTTGAATGATATTTAGATGTATGGACGGACTGATGGACAGGCAGACAGACAGGTAGGCAAGGTGTGTGTTGGTGGGTCATTCGGTCCGTTGGTAGGCGGTAGGTGTAGCTGTAAATGTAGGTATATATTTTAGTGTAGGTGTAGGTTTAGTTATGCAAATCACCAATGGTCAAATAACCTGTGATCAACACCCGCGGTGAACAAACTGCCTGTGGAAACCCCTTGGCTGTGATCAAAGAAAATTTGAGCTTATCGCTTTTGGTCAAAATGCATAAATAAATCGGAAATCTTAGGAATTGATTATTCTACTTATTATTTTAGAAAATGATTCCGCTTTTATTATTAAACAAAAACATATACAGAGGTTGAAATAAAATATTTCTGTCTATGTATGCACATAGGCACGTGCAAACTCAACCATGCAAGCACACATCACACTCACATTGCCATAATCTTCATTGGTGAGCGATCTGTGTGTAGTTTTCTGTGTGCGCCAATATTTATTTGGGTGTTTTCTGTGAAACGCACATTTCTCTTTGCACATTTTTCTGTGTACGCACTTTGCTCTTTGCGCATTTTTTCTGTGTGCTCAAATTTCGGTTTTGACGGAATCATTTAAATCTCTTAATCAGTGTGTGCATTTAGGTAACCAGAAAGATGCGCAACGGAAAAAAGCGCAACACAATGCGCAACAATTAAGCACAAAACAGAAAAAGCGCAAACATACATTTGCGCAAAGAGAAAAATGCGCAAAGAGAAAATTGCGCAACCAGAAAAAAATCGCAAACATAAATTTGTGCACACAGAAAAATGCGCACGCAGAAAAAAGCGCACTCAGAAAAAAGCGCAAACAGAAATTTGCGCACACAGAAAAATGCACAGGCAGAAAATTGTGTAAGTATGTGTGTGTGTTTGTGTGTGTGTGTGTTTATGTTGCATGTTTAAGTTGGTCTGTGTATGTGTGCATATATAGATGTATATATTTTATTCTCATTCCTCTACATTTTAATTTAAAAAATGCCACCATTCTTTCTTAAATGCATAGAAACATAAATTGCTAATATTTTCCGATCATGCATACATAGATGCTGTTGACCGAAGTTCCTTTTAAAGACTGATACACTATGGACACAATATGCTAGTATATCGTTTACTAAATCTAATCAAGGGCGTTCCCCGAGCTTAAGATGTCGGGAGTAGCACCCCGGGCTACATTGTGAGCACTATGGCACCTATATTCATTTTAAACAAAACGGTGCCACACGATATCTGATAATTAAACCAAACTAGAAGCCTACCCGGAGCCCCTGTAACCGGTGGCTCCCTAGAGAGCCCAGTGACGTCACCGACACATGGGCGGTCGCCGAAGAATGCTTACCTCACTATTAGAGAGGGTGACTAACATATACTCAAGACTTTCTAGGAGATAGCATGGACAACCCCGCGCCATAACGACTTAGATTCAAGACATAGAGCGCCGGCATTGTTTACATTTCTAAAGAATCCAGTTTTAGAAAAAAAAAGGCGACGCATTTAGAATTACGCGATTGTTAACGCATTGGTAAATCCATTAAAATATTGCGTCAGCCCGCAGCAACGGCCAGATGGGTACGTTAGTTTATATATATATATATATATATATATATATATATATATATATATATATATATATATATATATATATATATATATTAGCGTACCCGTCCCCCGCGCGTTGCCGCGGGGATAGAAGAAAATTTGACGAAATGTATTAGAAGGATTTCAGAAACGCGTTACCAATCATATGTTCTTAGACGTGTGACCGTCTTTTCTAAAAGTGAATTATTTAAATGTAAACAATGCCTGCGCTTGGATCATAATTATCGGGACACGGGTTTACCTACACTACCAGTGACTATGCCATTAGATTTTCTATTTCGGTGCCACAAAATTAATATGTGAAAAGCCCTGAAGTCGTTTATTTTCGTAGCTTTGACTGAATATAATTTAATACTTCAGCTTATAATTAGTAATTAATTAGCTTTTAAATTTATTTTTTCTCCCCCTTTTGGCGCCCCCTTAGGGTCGGCCCCCAGGGCGGCCGCCCCACCCGTCCTTCCCTGGCTACGCCACTGGTTTAAAGTTGTTTTGTTTTTTTACAGTATAATATTTTTATGAGTTATGAAAATAAAATAATATAATAATTATGGAATTGGCGAGCCGCATCCTGATATCAAAAGAGCCGCATGGGAGGTTGCCGACCCCAGTACCAGACTAGTCAAAGTATAGAGGGCCTTGTAGTACACTTAAATTTGCTACTGCTGTTTCAGTTCTTTCCCTTGGGTTTGTCTTAAGCTTGCCAGGTTAGCAATCTTTTGTTGCTCAACTTCCATGGCAACAAACATTACAAGTGTGTTGAATTATCAGCTAGACTCTAGACTAGTCTAGACTATATGACTAAATACTAGATTCTAGATCTAG